ATGCTATTAAAAATAAGTTGGTCCACAGTTTGGTTTATAGCGGTTATGATTAGATAACGCATAATATAAATAAGAGAAAAAATTCTTTAATGTAGAGGCACGCCAGTCGATTTATCTGATATTCTTCTAAGAAGAATTTTTAGACCTACTTTATAAAATCTATTAAACAATAATATACAATAAAAAAATGTTCTAAAATACCTAATGAAGAAATACAAAGAAGATTTATTTTTATCAAAATCTAACTTATATATAAATTAAGATAAGCTAGGATCTAAAAGAAGATCACAAGATCTTGTCGTCAGAACCTTATAAAATACAAGCAAGCAAAATAAAGACAAGTATAACATACAAAAAATAAAGTAAAATTAAAAAGATTAAAAAGTAATAAAACCCAAGTCAAATAACAATTTTAAAAATATCAGAAGTATCAAAGTATATTATCAAGTGAAAAAATACATTTTTAAAGATAGAGCTTGAAAAGATAAAAGGAAGTTGATTGATCGAGATTTCGCAGAACAATATTATTCCATAGGTGGGGTTCACGATTAGCAATGCAAAATTGATTAAATTTTGTGTGACAAAACGACTTATTTAAAAAATTTATGTTTCTCATATCGTATTTATTATTAGATTTGAGTTTGAAAATATTATTAAAAGCGGAAGGGGATAAATTATTTCTCCATAAATATACAAAACATAAAACATTAAATACATTGAGCTCAAATAGATTTAATAATCTCATTTCAGTACAAATAGGTTTTGTATGTGTAAAACGATCAGCATAGTTAATTATACGGATCGCATGTTTTTGAAGACGGTAAAGAAGTTTTAATTTACTTTTAACAGTACTTCCCCAAGCAGTGTTAGTATAGTTTATGTAACTGTGGATAAAAGAGTAATAAAGTTGGCTTAAGCAATTTTTATTAAGTTAGGTAGGTAAGGTAGGTATATATATATATATATATATATATATATATATATATATATATATATATATATATATATATATATATATATATATATATATATATATATATATATATATATATATATATATATATATATATATATATATAAAGTTCCTAATTCTGAAAAAAAAAAAAGAAAAAAAAAGTTACAAATATACAATTGTAAATACAAAACAAAATAAACAAAAATAAAATTGTACAAGTTGTTTGACTGAGTTTGAGAATGACCAAATATTGAACACAAGGACTTCCCAATCACAAGATCACTAACTTAAATTATTCAAAGAATTAAATGTCAAAAACTACTGCCTAATGATGTGTAATTTAATAAGACTTAATATTAATTTTTTTTTTGTAAATAAATATATACTAATTCTCAATGCTTTAACAACTATGAAGAAAGCTTATTATTAAATCGCAACCAAAATTTATAATCGGTGATCTAAATCAAGATCTCAAATCTCAATATGGAATGCAACATATGGAATCATATGGAATGCAACTTAATGAATTACTTACTAATCACAACTTAAAAAATAATGTCTATAAACCAACATGACAAAAAGTACAAAACATCTAAAAGTATGATTGATGTTTTGTTAAGTAAAAATTCAGCAAAAACAAAAATGTTTGTCTTAGAAACTTTGTTAAGTGATCACTGTGCAGTTTTTGTAGTGATACCATTGATGGTATCACTGGCGTAGTCAATAAAATGCAGGCAACTAAGTATTAAAAAGATAGCAATCATATCCAACACAATCAATAACTCTAACATACAATTCAAAATAAATGACAAGTCAACCAACATGTGGAATTTCTTAGAAATCAACATTATAAATATCTTAAATGCCATTTCCTCAAAAAAGAGGATACACATTACAAATAAAGAGAAAAATGAATGATTCAATCAAGAGTTGAAAAATCTGAAAAAATTGCGCAACGGTTATCATTTTGATTATGTAAAATCAAATGATTTATCAATTTTTCAATTGTTTAAAAAACGAGAAGAGAATTTATTAAATTAAGAAACGAAAAACTAACGAACAATTAAAAGTTATCTAAAAAAAAAAGAACCGAAAATTTTTAATAACTTAAAAGACTTTTATGATTTCTACTCAAAAGTTCTTCAAAATTAAATATTTGAAGATACTCCCCTTCCTCATTTTAAAGTCATTATTTTTCAATAAATTCTTTAGTTGTATTCAAAATTGAGATTTTTTAAAGATTCTTATAACTTTATTAATAATCTTTTTAATAAAATTAAAATAAGATTAAAAAAAAAAATTTAATTTCTCATTTCTTCCTTTTAATAAATATGAAATCCTCTATGCGGTAAAAAACTTAAAATAAAAAAATAACTGTAGTTATTTATAGTCCAACAAAAATTGTTTAAATATCATATAATTCAATCACCAATCTATTAATGACTATATTCAACAAATGACTAGAAAGAAGCAGTACTCCAAATGAATTTAAAATTTGTAGTATCATGCTACTTTATAAACAAAAAGGTGAAACTCGCGAAATCAATAGTTATCGAAGTATTACTATAGCATCTCCACTAACAAAAGTTTGAACAAATAATTGCTAAAAGGTTAACGGCATATTTTGAAGAAAATGATTTATTTAATGAAAACCAGCACGGTTTCAGATGCAATCTAGTGTAAATAAACTGCGTTACATGTTCTTATCTCTTTACACTATTAATATTTATCGATTTCAGAAAAGCTTTTGACTTATTAGGTTCCAAATTACTGATTATGAAGCTAAAACATTACGGTTTTTCAACTTTTACTTTTAACTAAATAAGTAACTATTTTCATAAAAGAAAAATATTTACAAAAGTTAAAGATCCATATTCTAATAAAGAACAAGTTAATATCGGTATACCGCAGGGTTCAATTTTAGGACCCCTTTTTTTTTAAAGGATCTACCTGAGTATTTGACATTATTTGAATCAACATTATTTTCAGATGAAACAACACTTATGACAAGTGATACCAATATAAACCATCTAATAACAAAAACTCAGTTTGCATTTAGTAATTTTATTGAGTGGTGCTATGTTAATAAACTCGACATCAATAGGGATAAAACTAAAGCAATGATTTAAACAAATAAGCATCTAAATTAATATTGTGAACATAAATCATATTAAGAGATAAGTTCAAAATTGAAATAGTTAATAAATTTTCTTTGCTCAGTGTCATGATAAACAGTAAATTACATTTTACCAAACACATAAAAGAGATAAAAGCAAAAGCATACAAAAAGTCCTTCTCAATAACTATAATATTTGGGCTAGCCTTCAAAGTTCGTTAACAATTCTTTAAAACATTCATTCTACCGAACTTCGATTACTATCTTATAATTTACTACACGAAAAAAGAAATCCAAAGCCTTAGCAATGCATACTGTATGATTTTGTTTTAACTACTCAAAACTAATTTTCAAAACAAAGATATGTTTTAAATCAATCAATAACTTGAAGCATACAACATACAAAGTTTTCATAATCGATTTTTATGCAGAACACTAAAGCTATGCCATAAAATAATTTATTACAAGAAACCGATGAACTTATTCAAACAATTTGATTTTATTAATTTTTGATAACATCAAGCACAACACTCGAAAAAAAATTTTTTTAATTTAAAGTGTCAAAAAAACACGACGAACAGACTTTTTTTATCAATATAATCAATAAACATTGCATTATTTGAATAATTATCAAATTAGCACCAAATGAGTTTAGTGATTTACTGAAAAATATCAACTATCAACAGTATTAGCATATACAACTATCAACAACATTAGGTTTGATGTCAATATAAAGAGTTAATATAAACAATATAAAAATTACTTTATGTAAGCAAAAAATTAAAAAAAAAAAAGAAAGAATAGACATTATTTAAATTTTTTAACACTTTTATTTTGTATTTAAAATATTTTATTATACTACTTGTATCTTATATTATATTCTATTCACTCGTAAAAAGACATATAGTCCATAGAATAGAAATTAGGAAATACATAATAAATAGGAAGTTAACATATAATTTAGGTAGATTTTATTTTCAGTTTTTCTCCTACTAGCAAGTAAAACTTTGATATCTTATATCAGAAAGTACGATCATTCAAATAAATATGGACGACGTTGTACGTGTACCAACAAATAATGTAAAGATGAACTCAACAACTTATGTACACAAGACGTAAAAAAGTCTACTTTTAAACATTTCGAACGTCTTTCGAACGTCTTTTGAACATTTTACAGCTCTTTTGAAAGTTAAAAAGATGTGTTTTTTAGATGCCCACTGGTAATTGCATGATATATAAATAAGGAAACTCTTATGGAAGTTCTAAACACAAAAAGTTTGTATTTTCGTGCGTATTTTATATCAGGAAAATTTGCTTTAAATTGCACACGCTAAAAAAATACCCTTCAAAGTTGGCTTCACTAGGTAAAATGTGATATCAGTTTTATCAACAACAAATATATATATATATATATATATATATATATATATATATATATATATATATATATATATATATATATATATATATATATATATATATATATATATATATATATATATATATATATATATATATATATATATATACAAAAGTAAAATTTACAAATATATTTAGCTTTTTTCAAACGTTCTTGTTTTTTTCTTTTTATTACAATCTTTATACAAATAATTACATTAATTAAAATTAGTTGCAAATAAAGATATCGTTAGAAAATAAAGATAGCCGAATAAAGAAACGGAAAACTTGTAGAAGACCATGATGTTTTGTCACCGAAAAACCACTTAAGCTGACTGAAATGATATTGCTGGTTTAATATAGAGCTTTAATGTTTTCTTGTTTTGTTTTGTTTTATTTTTTTATCTTTTTTGTCTTTATTTGTTGTATATCAATCAGTTTTATCAGTAATCCTTTGTTATAGCTATATAAAGCTTACTGCCCCCAAAAAAAATTTTAAACAAAATTTTAAATCATTAAATAAATCTAAGATGTTAAAACTTATGAGGAAAATTTGCCGACAAATAACATTTGCCGACAAATGTATAAAAAACTTTACACCTTGAACGACTTTTTGTTGCTAATATTACGGCCACTTGTATCAACGATGGAGATTTCACGAACAATTCATATTTATTCAGATTTCAAATAAACAAAAACGTCGAGATAAAAAATCAACGGCAAAAACAATTTTTTAGAGCGTAAGTATTATTTTGCTTTTTACGTTTATATATATATATATATATATATATATATATATATATATATATATATATATATATATATATATATATATATATATATATATATATATATATATATATATATATATATATATATATATATATATATATATATATATATATATATATATATATGTATACAATTGTATACATATATATATATATATGTATACAATTGTATACATATATATATATATATATATGTATACAATTGTATACATATATATATATATATATATATATATATATATATATATATATATATATATATATATATATATATATATATATATATATATATATATATACAATTTTTATTCTTTTAATTTGAAGGAAGTTCAAAATGAATGTGTTATGGGCAATACTTTGGTTTCTTATTCTGTTATTTATCGCCTGGCCAATCGCTGGTTTTTGTGCGAGTTGGTATGTTTGTTGTCTTCCATTTGAAGTATGCATCGAGCAACTTAAACCTCTAAATGAAATTTTATTCAAAGGCGTCAAAATTCCTTATGAAGTAGCCCTTCGTTTAAAAGATGGTAAAGAAGGCTGGTAATAAAGAAGCCTGACAATAAAAAAGCTGGTAATAGGAACTATTCAAATTTCTTATAATCTTACACAACATTTTTTTGTACGCATTCAATTTTTTTTCTGTGTGGTATATTTATGTTTTGTTAAGTATTTTGTTAAACTTTTTACAAATATTTATCTACAGTAAACACAATCTTTTATTAAAAGAATATATATGACCACTTATTGTTTTTACTAGAAATAATATTCAATGAAGTACTTTCAACAACAAGCTAAACAACTTTTCATATAAATTTGTTTAGCTTGTTGTTTTACATCATATGCACCGCCATTTGTTACCTTTTAAAAAGTAATTCGTTCTTTTTTAAAAGGTAATTCTTTATCTTTTAAAAGGTAGTTCGTTATCTTTTAAAAGATATTTTAAAAAGATTTAGTTGTCCTTTAAATGTTGTTTAATAAAAACTTTTTTTTAAAAAAAAAACTTCGATGTAAAAAACAAAATCTGGTTTGCTAAAAAAAAAATATTCAAATCTAAAATTTTCTGAATGTTTTAAAAATATTATTAAAGATTGTTTGTGGTTAGTGTAACGTTTTTTTCATTCGCCTTCGGTTAAGCTAATATATTGTTCATCTGGGTTATTTTGTGAGGAAATAATACATTTAACCAAAGGCGAATGGAAACCACCAACGTCAACCACAAACAATCTTTTAAACATAAAAAATGCTAAGGTATTAAAATACATTTGGCATTTAAAAGAAAAAAAATATTGTTTTTAAATTAAAAATAACATTTTTTACTTTGCGATAAAAGTTTGAAATTATTACCCGTATGTATCACCGAAATTTACTAAATAAAAAATTTCAATAAATTTCTAACGCCGGCATGAAAATAAATACCTTTGAAAAAATTTTAAAAGCTAAAACTAAAATTATTCTAATTCTAAAGGATTCTTTTTCACAGCTAATTTTTACTCTTGTTACATAGGTTTAAATATTTGCGTTTGTCTTTGTTGTTAATATAATAACTAAATTTTTTATTATAGATTTTTTTATATCTATAGATGTTTTTATAACGTAACAAAATATTATTAGAATATACTTGAAACGGAATTAAAATACAAAAAATATTTTGCGGTTAATTGTTAAGCTTGCAAACCGTATGCAGCATAACTACCACATATAATAATTACAACATTTGTTAAACTGATAATTAAAAATGCTATTGTGGATTTACTGAATGTAGAAATGTTGTATCTAATAAGATTACGGTGTCAAAGCTGGTGGTCTCTAAGCGCATTAGTATTAACAGCGTAGAAAATCTGTTCCAATTAGAGATAATAAATAAGTAAAAATGACAAGAAAAGAAATAAAATGGCATTTATTAGACTACAGGCCATCTAACTGTATTGTTCAGTTGCGTAGTACAGTTGTGAGTTCTAACCGTTTTACAAATTATCAAGCGTTTTAAGGTATAATAAATTAATGGTTAAATTTTATCAACTTGTAAACATGCAGTTTTTAAGATATAACTGTTTGAAACTTTAAATTTTCAATCTTATCATGTGTTTCGATTCTTTTACGTCTTCTTATTTTCAAGTCGATTTAATGTTTGTGAGTTTTAAACTCTAAAATAGTTTATATCATAAAAATTATATTCCATAAAATACACACCAATAATGTTTATGAATTCCATTAAAAAAATGTCAGCAAAATGACAAATTTTGTACCTTCTTGTTAATTTAAGTGGAATCATTGGTGTATTGAATTAGTCTAAATAAAATAAAAAATAATGTAAATCTATGTTTACGTATACGTATACGTATCTTTGTATATACAAAGAACCAAGTTGCAAATAAAATAAAAAGTGTTGCGGAAATATATATATATATATATATATATATATATATATATATATATATATATATATATATATATATATATATATATATATATATATATATATATATATATATATATATATATATATATATATATATATATATAATATATATATATATATATATATATAAACCTGAAGTGCTGTAACTATTTGTTTAAGTTGGACTTTAATTTGTGTCAAAATATTATTAACAGGATTGTTTTTAGTTTAAACTTCAACCAATAAACTTCTTGATATAAATCTAAGAGTATTATGGAGTCGATAACCGCAAAGTCCTACTTACACAATATGAATGTTTCTTACTTAAAACATATTTTAAAAGATATATTTGAAAAATAATCAGAATATATTGCAAAAAAGAAACTGATTTATGCGGATATTTGATTAGCTTGTTTTTATTGTATGAGAGAATTTTTTCACATGAGAATTTTTTGAAGTTTAATAGAGTTAATTTTCATTTTGAAGCTTTTGATGTTTTTGGCATTAACGATGTCAGACAGCATACCGTTCCAAATATTAACAAATCTGAGGGAGAAAGAATATTTACGGACATCGAGTTGAGATTTTAGTTTCGTATTTTGAAATTGTGACCTCTAGTGTAAATAAAGCTTTATTAAAAAGAATCTTGATATATTCAGGCAAACTTATTTAGCGCAAAATAATCAGCGTTATTTTGTAAAAACAATTCAGAGTTAGAGATTTCACAAGCTATTATTCTAACTTTTTAAAATGGACCCGGTGCTGGGTACCCAGACTCGGATCCAGTATTTTCTTCCGGGTACATATATATATATATATATATATATATATATATATATATATATATATATATATATATATATATATATATATATATATATATATATATATATATATATATATATATATATATATATATATATATATATATATATATATATATATATATATATAGTTTTGACTTTTTTGATTTTCTACCTTTATAAACTACAGAACCACCTTTTGTATTTGATTTTGAGTCAAATAATTGATTTTATGTATATTTAAAGTTCGATGGAATTATGCCTTTCTTCTTTAACATACAAATAGTTAACTCTCCGAAAAAACAAATTTTTAAACAATCGAAACTTGGAAAAAGACATAAACCAAACACTTCTCTGTCTTATCAAGACTTATATTGAAAGCTTTAAGCCCTTTTTTTTCATAATACTTGTAGATGATTCGGTTAATGTTTATTACTAAAAATGACGACATTTGAACCATTAGAACAAGTAACAAAAAAATACAAGAAAAGAAAAAACGAAGAAAGATTGGGCGAAAGTATAAAAAAACAAAGGCTAGCATACCATAAAACAGGTCTTGAATGTAACTGTAAAAGGTTGAAATTGTTTAAAGAGAAGCATGGCCTACTTAAATTACACGGCCTGATTTGTTGCATTTTCCGTAAAAAATTAAGAGGCCAGTTTTTTTTACGGCTTAAGTATAAAAACATAAATTTTGTTATGGTTAAGAGTCTTGTTTGCACTATAATTGTTTTATTTTTATTTTATTAAAATGGTTTAATATTAGTTAGATTTTCTTTGATTACTTAAATTATTTTGTGCTAGATTTTCTGTTAACTGATTGCCTGCTTCAGTTTATTTCAATAAAAAAGAATACTGAAATAGGCTTTCAGATAGCTATATCAACACATATTAACATGCTACTAAAAATAATCTTACATATTGCTAAAACTACCCACAACTCTCCATTGGAAATAATTTTAAAGGTTTGTAATTTTGTATTTATTATAATTGCAATTGTTAAGTAGAAAACATAAACTTTTCTTTAATTTATTTACACTGCAAAACAAGGTTTTGCATTTATTATGCTGCATGTCTCAAACATACAACAATTAAAATGTAACAAATCAGGCTATTTATTTACAGTAGCCAAGAAATATCAGACATACCAACTGTTTTGGAGTCAATAGCTGTTAATAAAATTCTAATTTTTTTCATTGCCAAATAAATGGTTATCATTCTTCTTTATTTAAATGGTTTCGCAGTGGTAAAAAATACAAATTGAAAAACTATAATATATTAGAAAAATCATTGACAAAAATTTGGTATTAAGAGATTATTTGCTTCTTGTGGGTAAGGTGTACTTTCAAAAAGCAGCCCAAAGTGGTAAACATTTTGATGAAGATTGAGAAAACAATCTTTATAAAGAATTTGTTTTTGTTTTTATGATTGTAGGGCTTCAAAAATTTATTCTTATGTTTTGAAATCATAACCTAAAGTTTACATAACAGGTTTATGCTTGAAAAAAGAAATTGATAAGTGTATTACCTCAATGCACCAATCTGAATTTAAGATAAGAACTATTGTTACCGATAACCATTTTACAATTGTTAATGCATTTCTATAGTTTCATAAAGCATATACTGGAGATGGAAAATTATTAATTTATCATTTAGTTTAGAAAGGGTGTGTTTAAAATATACTTGTTATTTGATAAACTCGGTTTTTGTTTTTTTCTTCTTGTTGAAGTTACTGCTGATTACATTGTAGGGAATATATTTCTTAAAGTTTATTAAAAGATCACTTATTAAACAAGCAAGAAAAAGCAAGAAAAATTAATTATCAAATCACATATTTTGGTAACAACAAACAAGTTGTCAACATCGACAATATTTGACAAAACAACTGCAGCTACAACTGCTAATTTAGAGTTATTTTTCTGAAAGAAATAACGCAGCACAATTATCATTGTTTTAGAAGTTATTTATCATACTTAATTCAAAGCAGAAACTTAATTCATCTAATCAAACTTAGCAATGCTGCTTTGAAAGGTGATAACAAACCCACACTTTATAGAGAAATAGCAAATTGTACTGAAATTTGATCAAAATAAAATTTGATAAATACCTGACATCAACCAAACAAACTTCTTGTGCTCTAATTACAGCACTACACACATTTGTATTTCTTATGCATGATTTCCTTGAAGAAAGCTTTACATTTGTTTATAGTTAATTTACAAAAAGATTCTTTGGAGCTAGGTTTTATTAAGTATAGTTAAATGCCCAATAGTAGACTTTTTGTGAGCCTTTTAGAAATGTGCATAAGTAAAAAGATTTTGGCAGATTTTCCCAGAAAATATTTACCAGAATTTTGATAATCCTTAAAAATTATTATGCAAGATATTGCTTAGTTGTCTACATAAATACTACTGTCAGCTTTCTGAAGATAGCACAAATATATATACTAAAGCAAGTAATAATGGTAAAAATTAACAAAAAGATTTTGATGTTAAACTTATGATCAATTAACATTACTTTATAAAGAGAAGAACCTA